CCCTTCTTGCTCCTGGCTTATAGATATGGTAGTGAGACCTAACCAAAGCCATTGTTATATTTGAATTTCTGTGAGAGCAGACAGCACTTGTATTATAATTAATATATGTCTTAGCAGTTAGAAACGAAGCAATGACATTAAATTAAATCCAGAGTTACCTGACTTTGAGTTAAAATTGGGATGCTGTGTGTTGGAGACACAACACTATAGGCTTGAATGCCGGTGACCCTTGAAATGCCTGGCTAAATATTTGTCAAAACTGTTACCTGTGATAATTTAGAAGTCAACCATGTGCTTACCAATCCTGTAACTGTAAGAAAAGTGGCAGCGAGTCAGCAGGTGGCATGGAGGTTAAGGCAGCTGGATCCTAAATAGCCAACTTCCCAGTTCAAGTCCCAGACCCAGCAACTTGAAAAACCATGCTATATGCATGTATGCACAAAATCCCTAAAGAAGAATGGAAGAAAAAGGATTGCAGCATGGCCATCCCCCTGGAGGGCAATTTCTCACTTTCCCTCTCTCTCCCACTATATATCTTTCTCCTGTGAGAATAGACGTCCTATAGCAAACAAAACAAAAGTGGCTGAAAAGTCAAAATTTTAGTGTAAATTGGCTAATTTTTGACACTTTTACTGAAGTCCAGTAAGAGAGAGATGAATTTAGATGAAAACTAACTAGCTTGTAAGCAAAGATGAAAGATGATAGAGTTCTAGTAAGGAAGAATCTACTTGAAGCCTACAATCTAAATTGAGAGTCTAGTAAATTAGGTTCTCATAGTTTTCGTAAAGTTAACTGTTTCTATCCCTCAAATATAAAAAGATTAAACTGTGGGCTCAGGTTTTTCTCAAGAGCCTCACTTTAAATATTCTCTAATAGGCAGAAGCCAGCTCAATAGCAAAGATCAGACTGAGATGGTGCCTTCCCACCCAAATCTATTGTTTCGGATGGCCTCATGGTAGCCTCCGTTAAACAGAGGTTATTGTGGAAAATGGGCTGGGTATAGAATAAAGTAGTTAGAACTGTGTTTAGACAAGATCTTTTGGTGTAGATGTTTGCGTAGGGAACTGAAACGTAAGAACACGAAGCTGTAGGACACAGACTGGTTGGATGGGAGGGGCTGTATGTATGTGTGTTATTTCATATTAAATTACCTATTTTCAACTGGTCTCTACATTTAAAAGTGTCAATTTTGGACCAGCAGGTGGCATAGTGGTTAAGGCATTGAACTTCCACATGATCAACCATCTGAGTCCCGGACCTGGTAGCTTGAAACTCAAGCTGGGCACATGTACATGTGTGCCCAAAATCCTGAGGGGAAAATGGAGGAGAAGGGACTGTGGCAGGGCCATCCCCCCAGGGAGTGAGTTCTTGCTTCCTGTCTCTCTGGTGAGCACAAATGCTCTATAGTAAACATCTCTCAAAAAATAAAGTCAATTTCACATGGTTCAACCAATGAAAAGATTGGAGATATTAGCAAATGCATGCTTGTATGACAGAAAATTCCAATGGAAAGAAAGAGACTGATAATGGTGGGAGAGAAGGGTTACCAAAGACTTAAGGTTCTTAAAAAACAAAAGGTTCTTTTCTTTTTTTTAAGATTCTAATACAAGAGCTACTTCCGTCATTCTTAGAGGAGAAGATGAGATCATTTGTAGAAGGGCAGGTTAGCAGGTTTAGTGACAGGAAGTTAATGGTGTTTACTTATGGTGGACTTAGGAATATGTGTGGTGCGTTCATCACCTGAGACTGGGAATGACAGGGACAATTTCTCAGATCAGTGGAGACTCCAGGCACTTGCTACCATTTTGGTTCACGTATTTATGTTTAAATGGTTTTATAATATGCATAATTTTCCAGAAAGTATTAAGTACCTAAAATATTAGGTTACTATTTCTTTCTAGGTCATTTGAATCCTCTTTCTTTTCATTTTAACTTAGGAACTTCAATACTAACCGGTCTTCAAGAATCTGGTGAAAACCTTTCGAAGATAGCAGAATGTGGAGAATGTATCAATTACACTGCCACAAGAGACACAACATGCCTTTCTTTTCTAATGAGCCTTCTTTTAAAGAATTTCTGCCCTGTACTTCTCATAGGTATTAAAAAACATTGAACAAAACGAAAATTTCAGAGTTTAAAAGAGATTTAGAGATTAGATGGTCTAACCATTTTATAAGTGGAAAAAGGCATGCCCTAAAAAGTTTTGATGGTTCTATCGATTTATCTTCTTACCAATGGTATAGGAATGCCCATTTCCCCACATTTTTGCCAGTACAGGACATTCTAAATCCTTTTTTGTATCTTTTCATTATCTTCATGACTAATCCCAGAAGAAGAACGACTATATTAATATAATACATACTAAGGTCCTTAGAGAGTCACCTATGGTAACTTTGATACGTTTAATTAAGTTTATATATATTATTCCTCAACCCAATGCTAATTTTTTAAAATCTTTCACCATCTAAAGGAGTAATTCAGTACATAATTCAATTCATGTGAGAGTCCGGCACCTTAACCACCTCACTCCCTGCAATCCCCTTGGAATCTGACTCCCTTAACCACCAGGTTGTGGGGCCAACAGGTGTTGACAAAAAATTTCAAGGAATTTCATTTCATGCCGTAGTTCTACTATGCTATAAGGACAAAGATCTGTGATAGGCTTAAATGAACATTAGATAAAAATAATTGTTAGCTCTACTACGAGATGTAAATAATTTAAACAATTTGAGGTTTTATATTAACTCCCTGAGTTAGCCACTCTTGGTCACATTTTTAAAAGAGGCCCAGTTGCAGTGGCACAGGCCAATAGGGTGCCACTGTGTGATACTGGAGTGATATGGGAGGACCCTGGGTTTAGATGCCAGATCAGTCTGAATGTACCAGAAATGCCCACAGACATGCCCATGATCTTGGCTGGGTAGAGGACTGGGGAAAGAATCATGGTGCGGTGAGGTTCTGTAGGGGTAATTTGCTGTATCTCTCTCAGTAAATAAAATTTAAGCATGTTTTTAAAAGGAAGAGCAAAAACATACTTTCATGCAACTTTCAAATGAAGGAAATGTTACTGGTTCATTTTAATATGCTAATATGTACTATTTTATGCATATAAATCTAACCTAATGTATTTTTCTCATAGGAGAGTGTGGTGTTGGGAAAACTGCTGCCATTAACCAAATGCTTGAAAAGTTAAAGGGCCCAGGAGCATTTGATATAAAATATGGGTCAATTTTAGGAGAAGTCCTATTATATAATGAAATTAAAAAATCAAGGTACTCTAAATTTGATGTCTGGTAAAAAAAAAAAAAGATTTGCTTTCATATATAAGTGTATCTTATTTTATTTTTTACTTATTATTATTTTAATTGCCAAAGGGCAAGTGCTCTCGCCAAAGACAGAGAGAGAGAGAGGGAGAAAGCACCACTTGATGGGACAGAGTTATACTGTAACCCCTTCTCCTCTTATTCTTCACCCTGGGCATGCACACACATGTGCCAGGTGTGTTTTTCAGTCCACTGGGGCTCAAATAGCCTTTGGCCATGTGGGATCCAGATCCCTCTAACCACTAGGCCATGGGGCTGGACTGATGTTTTAAAAAGTCATATGTTATGTGAAAATGAGGAATTATTCAAGAGAGAGAAAATCATTTTCTCTAATTTACCCTGTATTTTTTAATTTAATTTGTGATTTTTAATTGACAAATGAAAATTATATTTCCAGGAGCCAGCAGGTGGCATAGTGGCTAAGGCACTGGACTCCCACATGCCTAACTGGTTTGTGCCGGGGACCTAGCAGCTTGAAAATCACACCAGGTGTGTGTGCACACATGCCCAAAATCCTGAGAGAAGAATGGAGGAAAAGATACTGTATTGTGGTCATTCCCCCTGGAGTGATGTCTCACCTTCCCTCTTTCTTTCTCTCTCTGGCAAGAGCATGCTATGGCAAAAATCCTAAAAAATAAAATAAAATAAAATAATATTTCTGGAGTATAATGTGAAGCTTTTTAATAAAAGTATGTATGTTATAATAATTATATCAGCTAATTAACATATCCTCCACCTCACCTAATTTTTTATAGTGAGAAGATTTCAAATCTATTCTTTTCACAGTTTTGAAATATGTGATATATAAACCATGATTGCCATTTTTACAACAGATCGCAAAAAAATTCTTAAAAGAACTATTTAATTTTATTTATCATTATTATTATTTTTACCAAAGAGAGAGAGACTGAGAAAGGAAGCCTCCAAATCCAGGACTCAAACTGCAGTCAGTCATGTGGAAGTCCAGCACATTCACCACACCACCTGCTGGCCCCTACATCTCAAAATCTTATTCCTCCTGTCTAACTGAAACTTTGTACCCTTTGACCAATATCTCTCCATTTCCTCTCACCTTATCTCCAGCTCCAGGCAACTACTATTCTACTTTCTACTTCTAGGAATGTGACTGTTACATCCCATAAGTGAGATTACGTAGTATCTGTCTTTCTATTCTTGGCTTATTTCACTTAGTGTAGTGTCCTCCAGGTTCATCCATGTTGTCACAAATGACAGGATTTCCTACTTTTTAAAACCCTGAATAGTATTCTACTGTGTACAAAGGAAATTCAAAACATTCATTGAAAATGAAATTAAATATGAATTTATTTTGGTGCAAAACATTTTTGAAACCCATGCACAGTTTCCTCATTGATACATATTTTTTCATGAATTTTTTTGAGAGTTTTTTTTTTTTTTTTGGTTATAGGGCGCATGTGCTCGCCAGACAGACAGAGAGAGACAGAGAGACAGAAAACGAAAAATCACCCCCCAGGGGGGATGGCCACACCGCAATCCCTTCTCCTCCATTCTCCTCTTGGGATCTGGGGCATGCACGCACACGCGCTGAGGGTGAGGATTAAGCCACCCGGTCTGGGACATGAACTGTGGTCAACTACATGGGAGTCCAGTGACATAGCCATTACACTAACTGCTGGTCCCCCTCCATGAATATTTTTAATACTCGTCATATATAAACTGCATGTTCTTTACACTTCTCTGTTGATGGATACTTAAGTTGATTCTATATTTAAGTTGTCCAATGTGTTTTTTCAAGTCACTGGGTCTGGGATTTGAACAAGATGGTTGGCCATGTGGAATCCAACTGCCTTTAATCACCAGGCCATGAAGCCAGCCCTATTAGTTCCCCTTAAATGACTGGTAGAATTCAATGTGACAGCATCCATTCCTGGGCTTTTCTTTGATGGAAGACTTTTTCTTACTGATAAAAATCTTCTTATTACTGATCTATTAAGATTTTCTGTTTAAAAGATGTTTATTTTTCAAAGTATCAGCAACTACTGGGTCTTTGGAAAAGTCATGATGCATTTTTGAACAGAAGAACCTAAAATATGTCATGACTTTTCTGATGACCCATTAGATTAATTATTTTAAATTAGAAATTCTTGCATTTATCTTAAATATAACTAAATTTAAAATCTGGGTTTTTTTTTTAACATAATACAAAACAGCTATAAACTATGTTCCTCCTGGAAAAATACAACTAAAACATACAAATAAAGTTTTGCATAATTTTAGTTTTGTTACACTAGAAATATATATCCTTTTTATCAAACATAAAAATACTCTCTACAAAGAACATTGTCTCTGTTATTCTGTCTGCCTATTCCTGAAAAAAAAAAAAAGAAAGAAAGAAAGAAATTTAAATCATGCAAATAAGTTAACTTTTAGCCACCAGGTTCGGGACTTGAATCACAGTTGGCCATGGGGAGCCCAGCACCCCAATCGCCATGCCACCTGTTAGCCCCATAATTCTGTTAAATTATTAAAGTAGTCTGAACTTACTGAGTTGAAGAAGAAGATGGATTTATTAAGAGGCCCGTATCAGACCTTTCCTCTACACTTTAGCCTCATGTATCTGACTGCCTATGTCGCATACACACTTAGATACCTCGTGAGTATCTCAATTAGCCTAGCCAAAACATAACTTTTGATTTCTCTTCCAAACCTATTTTTCTTTTCTTTTTCTTTCTTTTTGCTTTTTCCTTTTTTTTTCTTTTAGGGGATATGCACTCACTGGAGAGAGACAGAGACAGTGAGAGGGAAAGTGAGAAATCATCCGCCAGGGGGGGATGGCCATGCTGCAATCCTTCTTCTCCATTTCTTCCCCCTTTTAGGAATTGCTGTCTGCTCTCACGGCATGTTTTTCAATTTGCTGGGTCTAAGACTTGAACAGGGCCGTGAGCCATGTGGGATTCAGCCACCTTAACTACCATGTGGGAGCCCAGCAACATAACCGCTATGCCATCTGCTGACCCCTTCTAATGTTTCTAATCTCAATAAATGAGACCTCTTTCGTTAAGCCTAAGACCTGGGTACCATCCTTGATTCTCTGATTTCCTCTCACCAGACTGTTTCTCTTTTCTTTTCTTTTTTTTTTTTTTTTTTTTTTTTTTGATTTTTTTTTTATCTGGCCA